TTAAAGGGCCGGCCCGCCGCGGCCGGTCTTACAAGAATTTAGGGCGGCCTGGGGGGCAATTGCCTCCCTGCCCCCTGGCCCAGCCCGCCCCTGAATGCCTCCCTTGGTAAACTCATCAACTCCTTTGGCTTCCAATATCACTTCTATGCGGATGAAATGCAAATTTGTCTGTCCTATCCTGATCTCTCGCGGTACTTCTGGAGTCTCTGACTGCCTCTTTCTTATTTCTAACTGGATGGCTGCTCATTTCCTTAAACTTATCCTGTCCAAGACAGAACTTCTTGTCTTTCCTCCGTCAAGTGTTGCTACTCTGTCTCCCTCCAAGTCATTGGCGCCACCACCAGCTGTACTTTGCAGGCTCACCGCCTAAATGTTCTCTTGACTTAAACCTTTCCTTCACCCCTCATGTCCAGTCACTCACCAAATCCTGCTGCGTTCCTCCCAAAAACACTGATTGTATCTGCCTCTATCTAACGCTGGATGTGGCTAAGGTGCTAGGCCATGCCTCTATCATCTGTCGACTTGACTACTGCAATCCGCTTCTCTGTTGTCTGCATTTCCAACTTGTTACAGTTTATAATGAATTAGGTGGCAAAGATCATCTTCCTGTCTGCCTGCACTGCCCATGCTTGTGTCAAGATACAACTCCCCAACACGCAAACCAGAGAACAATAAATGCAAGCACAGACAGGCGTATTACCGGACCTTAAAGTGGCCGGACTTAACGCAAGAATTTAAGAGATAAGAATGGTCAGACAAGCCAAGGTCAGGGTCAGAGAGGAACGAGTAAACAGAGCCAAGGGTCAAGGGAGCCAGAAACAAGAATAACCAAATAACAAGCCGAAGTCAGGAACCAAAGAAAGACAAGTAATCAGAACGCACTCTCGGGCTACAATAAACCACGACAGGGCAAGGAAGTGATGTCAGAAGGAGGTTAATAGGTGAAATCTGATAATCAGGGACAGAAATGAGGCAGGATATAAATAGATAGTAGCAATAGGCTGCTATCCCTTTAAATGCCAAGAGCAACGTTCACCCCTATCAGCTACCGCGTGCGCATGCGCACGTCCCGAGATGCGCTCCCAGACACGCGTTTGCACCTGGATGCGCGCGCACACGACGCCGACCGGAGATCCACACCGCCAAGCAGGAAAGGATGGACGGCGGGACCGGGACGGTGCGGGACTCGAGGTATGACAGCTTGGCCTCTCTGTCAGTCCCTGCACAGACATTCCATAAGAGTTAGGGCTCAATTTAAAATTCTGGTGCTTGCTTACAAATCTCTACATAACACTGATCCTACCTACCTATCCTCCCTAATACACAAGTATGTCCCGTTCAGGTCCCTACTCTCTGCCGAAGATGTACTTCTGTCTAAGACAACCAGAAACCACACAAACCTTATCCCAAAACCCTGCCATTTACCCTCATTTACCAACATTCAGTGCGCTCCCTGGAACGCCCGCTCCATCTGCAGCAATCTGAATTCATAGACGACCAGCAGCCATAGACGACCTTTTCATCTCAAACTCTATTACACTACTAGCATTTACAGAGACCTGGCTGTCCCCCACTAATAGCGCTACTCCTGCCTTTGGGCTACAATTCTCCCACACTCCCAGATCAAACAAATGTAAAGGAAGTGGTGTAGGAAATTCTTCTCTCAATGTACCTTTCAACCAATCATAACTTCCCCTGCCCTCTTTTTCTTCCTTTCTTCCTTCCTTTTCCTCTATGTGACCGCCATCTGCTGACTTTTGACATTGGCATACCCAGGACCCAATTGAAACCACCCTTGGCACATCAATCTCGCAGAAACCTCCACTGTTTTTGACCCACTTCAGTCTGGTTTCACGCTCAGCACTCCGTGGAAACGGCTCTGACCAAAGTATTCAATGATCTACTCGCTGCAAAATCTTGTGGTCACTATTCTATCCTAATTCTCCTTGATCTTTCCGCTGCTTTTGATACTGTTGATCATCAACAGCTTCTTCTCATCCTCCATAATCTCGGTCTACTATTATACTACTACTACTATATTACACCCTGTTCCAAAGTATTATGCAAATTATATTTTTCTCATTTACCTAAATAATTGATGTAAATAACAGTCAGCATAAATCTCATGTTATCAACTATTAAGAGTACAATTCAAATTTTATAGAACAAACCTTCTAATGATAACAGTATTTCTTTTTAAACATAAAAAACTTACAATGCACTGTTCCAAATTATTACACACAGTAAGTTTCAAAACACTTTATAGGTTGTAAAGAACTGAAAATTGTCATTTGTTGTGTTTGCAGCATATTTACTGAAATCAAAAGCTATTTCAATCAAACTTATAACAACATTTTAACTTTTTAAACATTTTAACAGGTCACGTTACATTTTAACATAGGGCCCCTTATTTGATAGCAGCTTCACAAGTTTTGCATCCATTGAACATGTGAGTTTTTGGACAGTTTCTGCTTAAATTTGTTTGCAAGATGTCAGAATAGCCTCCCAGAGCTGCTGTTTGGATGTAAACTGCCTTCCACCCTCATAGATATTTTGCTTGAGGATGCTCCAAAGGTTCTCAATAGGATTGAGGTCAAGGGAGGATGGAGGCCACACCATTACTTTCTCTCCTTTTATCCCCATAGCAGCCATTGATGCAGAGGTATTCTTGCAGCATGAGATGGTGCATTGTCATGCATGAAGATGATTTTACTACGGAAAGCATAGTTCTTCCTTCTGTACCAGGGAAGAAAGAGGTCAGTCAGAAACTCCACATACTTTGCAGAGGTCATCTTTACACCTTCGGGGACCCTAAAGGGGCCGACCAGCTCTCTTCCCATGATTCCGGCCTAAAACATGACTCCACCACCTCCTTGCTGACATCACAGCCTTGTTGGAACAGGGTGGCCGTCCATCAACCATCCACTACTCCATCCATCTGGACCATCCAGGGTTGTACGGCACTCATCAGTGAACAGGACTGTTTGAAAATTAGTCTTCATGTATTTTTCTGCCCAATGCAGCTGTTTCTGCTTGTGAGCATTGGTTAGTGGTGGCCGAATAGAAGGTTTATGCACAGTTGCAAGACTCTGGAGGACTCTACACCTTGATGTCCGTGGGACTCCAGAGGCACCAGACGATTCAAATATCTGCTATGTAATGGTATTTTAGCAGCTGCTCTCTTGATCCGATGCATGGATCTGGCAGAAATCTTCCTCAATGTGCCTTTATCTGCACGAACCCGTCTGTGCTCTGAATCAGCCACAAATCTCTTAATAATGCGATGATCACGCTTAAGTTTTCGTTTCATCCAAGGCATTGAACTATTTCACTCTTTTCGGCAGCAGAGAGATCCTTTTTCTTCCCCATATTGCATGAAAATGGTGCTCTGCTTAATAATGTGGAACATCCTCCTTTA